AAACATTTTTCTACTTCTATTCTTGTGTCGCCTAAAAGTAACATTTTCAGCAAATATGATGACAAAATTTTTTGAACTAAGTCCCTTAGACGAAAAGAGGTGGCTGTGGTGTCAAAACACGAAAAGTGATAGATAAAATTTGTTCTAGAATGTTGTATTTTGTTCTTTTGTGCGTATATAAAAAATATTTAAAAGGGGATCACAAGGAAGGAGGAGTAAGAACTTCTAGGGTAGAAAAAGCGGTCATTCCAAAAGAAGGGCGCTGGAGTAAGGCGGTTACTGGAAGAAGACTACGAAGTCAAAAGCTGGATTCATCGGGGATAAGAGGACTGTTGGCGATCGTCAGGGGTAGACGACTGCAATATTCTTTGGAGTGTTTTGGGCTCTCGGATTGATACTTGTATTATTAAGTTACGTGAGCGTTGTGTTTTTGAGTTTGGTGTTAAAATAAGAAGTTTAGCTCTTTGCTTGGAGCACAGTTAAATCAAATGACCAACAGTGGCAAGGTTCTGGAGAGTTGAAGTTCCCCAGAACAGGGTTAAGTAGTAAGGAGTAGCTCTGGATCTCGGAAAGGGGAGAACTACTTTTAGACCCCGATAGTCAAAGATTACTTAAGGGGGTAGAGTGTCCAAAGGTTGAACCGGAGACCAGGGTGTTGCATCATAATGACGCAACTGTTTCTTACGCAATCCCCAACAAAAAAACCATAAATCATTATTTGATATATTATGTGACAGAAGACGAAACGAATGCTAGGGTCACTAGCAAATCGAAAACTGGATGATACAGTACTGGCCAAAGCAACCAAAACGGCTACGAGAACCAGACCGTGAATTATAAGTGATCCAAGTAAGAAATGTTTGTCTTCGTACAAAAAAAAGTACAAAAAAAAGACAAAAAAACAAACTGAGCGTTGTTTTTTCAATTCGTGCCTTCACTCGCCGGGCCAATTTTTCATCTTTTTCATTTGCGAGGGCAGCCGTTATTATGGGTGTTGATATTAGCTTTACGCCGTTGATGATTTCTTTGATTCGTGGCACACCCTGCAAAAACAGCTGACTTGAAATGCAATTTTTCCTGTCTGATTTAGTGGAAACCTTTAAACATTTTTCTCGTACAAATGCCTGTTGAAGAAGAAATCTTGTAGAATAACGCTGATGTTATGAAAACAAAAATTCCCATCTAAAGCCAACCCAGAGAAAAAACAAACCTGTGTAATGTTCATTGATGCAACACCGGCGAAGTGAAATGTTTTCAGTGTCATTTGAGTGGACGGCTCACCTGCAAACAAAAGGTACTAAATGAAATTTGTGGTGGAAACCGTCTGAAATTTTCGGCCTCGATACTCTTATATCGGCAAAATACGGTGAAAACCTCACGATTCCCGCTTATAGTTCATACGCAATTAATCCTTGTGCGAGGTTCTTCTTTACACAATAAATGCATTGAAGCTATACAAAAAATTACTAGTGAATCAGCTTAAGACCACAGAAGTGTCCAAAAAAAATGCAAAAACTGAAGGTATTTTTCGCTGGAAAAAAAAGTACTGAAATCTCAGCAACACCAAAAATAATAAGTTTGGCTTCAGCTAATTTTGGTAACAGCTACAACGACAGAGCTAATGATAACCAAATGATAACTGTGCTAAGTTAAAGTCAAAAGTTCTTTCATACCCATTTTCTACGAAAAGCCGATGCACTCGGAAATAACCCGCGCGACAGGATGAGAAAATAACAATTACCCGATCATGGAGATGCTAGAAGTGCCTAAGATTTCTTAAAAACATGAAGATGGTGGACTGCACTGTAAAAGTTGTGCAATTCCATTTTTTAAAAAAAAGCCTATTTACTAAAAAGTGCAGTCAAATCAAACGTTTCACCACCCGCACAGATCTAGCTCTTTTTATTGATTACAGCTTCGTTCAGGGGGACTTTGGGTCAACGAACCATCCGTGTAATTACACCTATATGACGCAGCTCCTTAGCACTCAAAGATTTGACGCTAAGCCTTTCCTGTTCGCCCGCCAAAATACTAGAAAAATACTCGTCATTACCAACTAGAACAATTTCACGAAGCTGAATTCTGTTAATTAACGAAAAATCGAGCCAAACCTACCAATGCTAGTAGCGGCAATAGCACCAACAGCTGTGCCTGGTTCAGTTACGGCACGTTTCAATTTTCGCGCACAAAGATCGATGAAAGCGATTGCTTGCGAACGCGACAAGCACTGTGATCTGATGGTAGTCTGACGGAATACATTTTGATTTTTGCAATCATTACAGCGAGTTTGCACTGCCGAACTGCAAAAATGAGATTTAAAAAAAGAGATCCGTGTTTGCGAGGCGAAAACAAGTGCGGTTCCTCAATAAAAGAACGTCGAACACTCAAGACGAATCCATTCTATGATGAAATTTGCCAATATTAACAGCAATTTCGCCTTGTAGTAGTTTTATGTTCAGAAATACTGTAAATTCACACTAAATTTTTCTTCTTTTGTTTTAATAAATAAGTCCCATCTGTTATTTGTGGCCACTGGGGTATAAAAGCACTCCTCCCCATTTTCGGCATCCAGAGCCGCTGTTTCCGTCACCCAACCCTGTTCTGTGAAGCTCCGTCTCCCTAGAGTCTTGCTACCCTTTTTTTACCATGTGTTAAAGCCTGAGGCGTTTGAAAAAAATACAAAAGGCCAGTAAAATCCGCCA